CACACTCGGACAGAACCACGGGCTGTTTGTCCATACTGAAGTACGCAGGCCCATAATTTCACACCGGAGTCCAGACTTCCTGTGAACACGGTGCGATTGTTCTACAATATTTGCAATACAAAATGACACAAGACATAAAACAATTCCACACGATGATGTAGATTTCTTTAAGAAACAAAAATATACTTTTTTAAAATTCACTTTTACGTGTCATCTGTTTCATAATGTCTAACAAGCTTCATACAGTTAATCACAAGCTTCATCTCTTAATAAACACAGTACACGTGTATGCCTGAATAAAAACAAACAGGTGAGATGTTAGAACACTTTTATTTCAGTAAACACTCAAAACCTACAACAGACAGCTGCTGGTGTTTGAGAACTGAACAAATGTTTAAACTATAATCTGATCATTGTTGCAGCAGCCTTCAACATCTTCACGTAGTAACATCTGTTTTTGTTCCCGGGAAAATGTTCCCAGATATTCGAAGGTTACACAGCTGCATTCTCGCTTGAAAATATCTTAAAGGTTTTGTGTCACAGAAACAGTCATGTTTCGAACCTTTTAGCCGCTCTCCTCCGCCTTTTTTCTTTTGGACAAAATGCATTCTGGGATATTTGGCTGCACCAAGTCCACACTTTCATACATTACTGGGTTTTTCCTGTGAGCCAGAGGAGCATGGCTGTCACTGAGATTAAAACTTTTTCCCAGGTTCATGTGTTTGTGATGTACAGACACTGCAGACACAGCTGGAGCACCGAGCTTTGGGCTGCTTGATTGAATGTGATCCTCGGAGAAGAGATTAGAGCAAAGTGAGCTGCAGCTGCTCTGTGTACTGTGCAGTCGCCCTGTTTTTGGTTGTCTTCGGTCCAGATGCTGTAACCACCTATGATCACCGAACACGTCTAAATCCCAGTTTGACAGTGACCAAGATAATCCAACAACTTACCAATCAAAGCAGCCGTACGTACGTGGGAATCGACCCTGGTTACTCAGCGTTCCTCTCCCCAGAAGAGGAGCAGGGAGGTGTGGCCGTGCGGGTCAGAACTCACCTGAAACCTCTGATCATCGCTCTCGGGGAGATGGTTTTCGACACTTGGAAACTGTTGGACTGTCTGTGGGATTAAGGCCAATTGCTTCACCAGCCATCACGGAGCATCCCACACATGGCGGGGGATGTGGGATTGTGGACGCGGCCTCAGCGAGCAAAGATCCGAATGGCTCTGTTGCTAGATCGCTGGCTAACAAAACTTTCCTTCTCAGGGACTTTTTTCCATCCCGGACTTCTGCGTTTAACTGCGACGCGGCTTCATGCTGGTGAGTCTGCTCCTGTTGTTTGTGTAGGTCCCTGCAGACGTCTGTGCTGGACTAGCTTCCATATTTAAATCCAGTTCTCAGTGTTGTCAGGTCTCGGCAGATCTTTGGAGCAGGTTGGAGTCTTCCTCCCCTGTGCTTTGTGCGGTTGTTTACTGACTACTAAAGAGGGCAGCTTATCAGTGACTTTGGTGACTGGTCTCTAAAACACAACTGTTTTTTAAGATTTGTGTTGGTTGTGAGAGTGGACCGCTGGTTAAAGACAACCCTGGATGTGACACGGGTATATCAGGCTGTTTCCTGTTTTCAGCCCCGGCTCTGCAATAACGCTAGCATCCTCTGTGAGACGTGTGCACATAGTTAGTCCTTCAAGTGTTGCAGATTTTATCACTGCTTTTAAAAACTATGACTTTTGGACTTCCACGCAAGCTTGACTACCGAGGACCGTGTTTCCGTGCGCGGCTGCATTCGCTGTATTTTTTGCCCCTTTTCTAACCAAATGGACTAAACCGTCCTGTCAGGGTCGGCCGGCGCTCTAAGACGTACAATCCCTGGAGAGCAAGCTCGATAACCTAAGAGCAAGAGTCACCTTCCAACGTGACATGAGGGACTGCAGCATTCTGTGCTTCACGGAGACATGGCTGACCCCACCGTGCCGGACCGTGCCGTAACTCCGTCAGATTCATTCTTTGAGAGTCAAACAAAACCAAAGGTGGAGGAGTGTGAAAGTGGTTGATGCCAGGAGCATTTCTACCCTTTCCAGCGGCTGCTCCCCACATCTGGAGTTCCTGAGCATTAAGTGCCGCCCTTTCTATCTGCCCCGTGAGTTCACCTCGGTCATCGCCACGGTGGTCTACATCCCACCACAAGCGGACACAGGTGTGGCTTTGTCCGAACTACATGATGTGCTGAGTTCGCTTCAAAACAAGGAGCCCTCGTTGTAGGGAGACTTTAATAAAGCGAACCTCGGACAAGTCATGCCGAAGTTGGCTGTGATGTTTCCTTTATAGTGGACACAAACGATGTTTTTGGAGTGGCACAAATAATTTGTGGCATCTTATTGAAGAACAGCTGATTGTTCTGTAAATAGTTTGAAATGGTTATTTTTAAAAAAGGGTAAAAGTTAAATGGCTGCAAATAACTTGTGCGTATGATTTTTAAATTGACCATTTATGTTTGCATTTAAAGTTATGAAATATGATTCATTAAAGGTGTTTGTGGTTGTTACAGTAAAAATAGAACTTTTTCTACTCGAATTTTGTTTTTTGTTTGATTTTAGATCAGTTGTGTTAATGCAGTCAAAATGTAAACATGACTGTAAATTCAGACACGTGAGGTTGTGCTGAACACACGGCAAAGTAAACAGTTTTTAAAGGTGGAATAGAGGAAACATCAAAAGTAGTTAAAAATGGCCGATACCCTGGACCCCAGAGGGTTCAACTTTGTTTGTAAGTAACGCGATGATTACAGCGCTCTAGAGTGCGACCAAATTTTTCAATGGTGTGACTAAAAGAAATCTTAGGTGGCACCGGTGTGACCACCTGTTCAAGTAACAAAAAAGTCTCCGTGTGGTCAACAACAGACACACATTATGCCCCTGTCGTGGTCTAAACCAATCAGAGATAGTCAGGACCGCTCTGATTGGTTCATGTGGTCCTTCGTGTGTACTTTTGAAAGTGCAGGCGGATAGACAGAGGTGAATATCAATTCATTAAATCCTGAATCAACTTTTAAATATAAATGTTTTTGCCAGAAACGCGAGAATCTCAGGTTAAAGCTCACAAAACTATTTCAACAAACAGTAAGTGAGAGCAGCTACACGGACTCTGCACAGAGACGGAAACGCAGACCCGACGCATCAGAAGCAGCTTTCTCTTTCTCGCCTGTACACGGACACGCCGTCGGGGCTGAACGCCCACAGCTCGCTGACTCTGATGCATCGCGCTGCATTTACGTCTTTTTTGCGCTGATTCTGAGCTGCAGGTTTTGTGTCTCTCCACCCAAAATTCACTGAACCAGCAGCAAAAGAAGCAGCAAACTGCGCTTCACATTTGATGAACATCGTCATGAATTCCCTCTAACTTTTGCTGTTTTGCTTCCCCCACGATAAAATCCCACTTCATGCACAGCTCTCTCTCTCAAGAACAGTTTCCCGTCTCAAATCTGTTTTCGGCATTATTCATTCGCTTATCACCCACCAGTCTACCGTTGTTTACAGCGTTGTCGGCCGCTGCGTTTTGTTTTTTACTTAAATGACCTCGGACGAGAAAGCCTCATTTCTTACCTTGTTTTTTTATAAGATTTGGTAACCAGTCATCAGCCTGATGAACCTGAGTGCTCTGTTTTAACATTTATGTGTGCTGTATCACCACCTTGTTGACTTGCTGTCCACCTTCTGTTGTGTTCTCTTGAAGGTGATTGTTGTATACTGTTCAATTATAAAATCAATAAAAATATATTGAAAAAAACCCTAATTTCTGCTGTTCAATACTGAAGAAATGTAAACTTTTTAAAACTATGCAAAGTTGCAGAATATTTTTAAGCTTATCTGCTATAAACATCCAGGCCAGGAAAATCTGCTTCATGTTTTTCTGTTTTATTCTCAGTTACTTTCACACAGAAGCCTCTGCTGTGATGCTCACACCTCTGATGAAGTCTCACAGTATCAGCACTGATAAATGATCAGAATTATAATATCTCTGACTGTCTGAGGCTAAACTGAATTGAATCAGGATCTCTTGAATCAGGATCGAGTGGATTATAGAAATCAGTGATGATACCCAGCCCTGGTGAGCAGCCTCGGCCCGACAGAG